AATGTTATGTATGTGTATATAAGAAGACTCTTATTTTATTGTTTATGTGTAGTTAATTAAAATATTCCAGAATAAACACTATAAGGTATTTGAATACCTTTAGTCTATATTCAAGGGGCCCTCAGTTAACTTTGAAGTAACTTAAATGAGATTCTACCTGGAGGAGACTACCAAATACCGCCCTGCTTCTAAGGGACATTAGAAGTCATTTCTCTTTGGCATAATAAGCATCAGCCAAACCACATGACTGCCTTGAAAGCTGCAAGGATGTCAGGGCCTTGGGTGGACAGGGCCTAGGGACCCAGCAGCCCGTCAGCCCAGCACCTTCTCTTACACCCCAGATTAAGGCCAACTCACGGTGCTGCGAACATCCTTGAAGAGAGGAAATCTTTGACTTGTTCTTGTAGGTATCAGTGCATTTGCCCCAGAGGAACATTTTCACCCTGTTTTTGGAACGCTTGGGGACAAAGTGTAGGGAACTCTCTGAATGTATAGAAATACCTGACTGCAGGGGGCTTGACTGCTAGTGAATGCTGGTGTGTTTATCAGAATGGGTTCTAAGCCTCACCTTGGTTGTGATGCACTCTCTGAAAGTAAGGTTATGGATGGGGTAATACTTTCCACCTGCTCCTGTTGCCTTATTATTGGTTGAAAAACACAAAAGCAACAAATAACTGATGGCTGTGGAGTGGTCCAATTGCTCTCGGTCATTTTGCAATAACATTTCTAAAGTCCTACCCACCCCCCCCATACCCCTACTCACATACTTGGGTGACTTGGCTTTACCCAATTGGCAAAGGAGGCATTTTCTGCAAATGGTTCTCTTTTTAGGAAGTCTTTGGTGATGTGAACCATTTTTTAAAAGTTTTTATTGAATTTGTTACAATACTGCTTCTGTTTCATGTTTTGGTTTCTTGGCCCCAAGGCATGTGGGATTTTAGCTTCCTGACCAGGAACCAAACCCATGCCTCCTGCCTTGGAAGGCAAAATCTTAACTGCTGGACTGCCAGGGAAGTCCCTGCAAATGGTTCTTTATACCCCTGTCTGCAGGGTAACTTAACACCTGTGTCCACAGCACGGACAAACAGTTTAGGGCATCCCTGTTCTTTAAACCTATATTCTGTGCATTTGTTGAGCACATCTTAGATCCCGGGGAATACCATCACTGCTGTGAGTAGCAGTGAATCTAATCAACACAAACCCCAGTATTCCTGGAATTTGAGTTTTAGTGAGAGCAGGTAAATAATAAGCAATGATACTTCTTGCATGTCAGTTGGAGACTATGGCAGAAATCATCATGTTGGGTGGATGGGTGGGGGTGGGGGTACCATTTAAAATCAGGTGAAAAGGCAGAATTAAGCAAAACCTGAAGGAGCCCCTGTCCCTGTCCAGGGGAGACTCATTTAACTGGGGGAGCTACTTGTGCAAAGGCCCTCGGGTGGGACTGTGCCTGGTTTGTTCCAGAAACAACTGTGTAGCCAGACTTTCTCGATAGTGGGGAGAGGCTTGGGGGACAAGGCGAGGGAGGTAACTGCCAGGGCACCTGGGCCCTTGAAAGATTCTGTCATAACTTTGGCTTGTCCTTTACGGGACTTGGAAAAGCCCTAAATGATTTAATCTGACTTACATTCTAAAAGTATATATGTACTTTACTGCAACCGTGGTTTTCAGCATGTGCATAGACCCTGGAGCAGCAGAATCAGCCGACCTGGGGGTTTGTTGTTGTTCAGTCGCTCAGTTGTGTCTGACTCTTTGTGACCCCATGGGCTGCAGCACACCAGGCTTCCCTGTCCTTCACCATCTCCCAGAGCTTGCTCAAACTCACGTCCATTGAGTCGGTGATGCCATCCAACCATCTCATCCTCTGTCGTCCCCTTCTCCTCCTGCCTTCAATCTTTCCCGGCATCAGGGTCTTTTCCAATGAGTCAGCTCTTCGCATCAGGCGGCCAAAGTATTGGAGCTTCAGCATCAGTCCTCCCAATGAGTGTTCAGGGTTGATTTCTGTTAGGGGGCTTGCTGGGAGGGCACATTCAGCCCCCACCCCAGACCTCATGAATCAGGAGCAGCAGCAAACTGGGTCTCACCAGACCCTCCAGTGAGATGAGCTACAGACTGTCCAGTTACATTTGAATACAGTTGATAAACAGTGAAAATTTTTTCATATAACAAAGTCCCATGCCATATTGCATGCTCATATGAAAAAAGTGCTTATCTGAAGTTCAAATTAAACTAGGTGTCCTATACTTTTACTTGCTCAGCCTGTCAACCCTACCTCTGGACGATTCTGATGCACCCTGAAGTTTCAGAACCGCTGTTCTGGAAGCTACCGATGAGCCACCTAGGTGTCCTTTACCTGGCCGGAGTAACCACCCCCGAGCTCTGTGAGTGCTGATGGCTTTGAAGGTGGAGGAAGAAGCCACACGCCAAGGAATGTGGATGTCCTTTCGGAACTGAAAGAGGCAAGGGCACAAATTTATGGGTTCACGCCCAACACCTTGAGATTACAGTGCTGTGGCTGAGAGCCAAGGAAAGTGGGCAGCCTCTAGAAACTGGAAAAGTGAAGGGAACAGATTCTCTCCTGGAGCCTACAGAAGGAAGGCACATTAGGACTTCTGACTCCAGAACTGTAAGAGCATCAATTTATATTGTGTTAAGCCATGACATTTGGAGTAAGGTGTTGCAATAGGACACAGAGCCAGGAGAAGACCCTCTCAGAGTGGTCAGGGGAAGAGGAAGCAAGGACACAGGTTCAGGGCTGCCTTCTGCCCTGCTTCCTCAGAACTTGTCACAGGGAAGAGCCTCCCTGCTCTCCTCTGATGCCAGAGGCTACCCCTCCCCCCAACAACAGGATAGTTAAGCTGCAGCCCTTGCCTGACCCAGAAGCTCTCTTGGGCTCTCTGATTTCGTGGTATCTCAGTTCCCTCTGGAGGCACCCTGATCATGACCTGCTCTGTTGTCTTCCGGGTTGATTTCAGGTTTCTAAGTGGAGACCTTGCGGGGGCTGTTTGACCATCCCCTGTGTTCGTAACACACATTATTTCTGCCTCAGGTACTATGGAGCCGAACTGCTTCACTGCAGAAGAATCCATCTTTAGAAAAGCAGCCAGAATACTAATGATCACTAATTTCCCAGGAGGATTGTCTGCAAAATTATCTAAGAGGAACTGATCTCCTTGAACACACCATTTCTTCAAGTTTCCTTAGCACAGAGGCACATTTTAAAGGATGCTGTTTCTCACTACTGCGGGATGACAGTGACAAAGGAGGCTTGATTTGGAGTCTGTACAGAATGCGTTGCATGGAAATGTGGTGTAACGGGGAGGAAGGAAGACTGGAGAACCAAGAGGTCTCAGCTGGAACTCTGCTTTTCTCAGATGCACCCGTGTGGATTGAATTCATCCAAGCCACACTTTCTCATCGGTGAACAAGGGGTTCTCAGAACGCCCTCTTTCCCCCACTCCCTCCACATCAGGCATGGGAGTGCCCAGCTCAGACCTCCATTCAGGAGAGAACCCACTCTGGGGAGTGTATGAGCGGGTGGCCCCCAGCTTCTGCATCTTTGGGACCGGCTCCCCCAGCTGCCCCGGCGATGGAGAGTAGAGTGGGTGCGCGGGCTGGGGCAGTTTTGTCCGCGGCAGACTCCTTTCACGGCTGGTCCTTGCTCCGTTCTACTCTGCTGGCCTGAAGGTGAATTTTCAAGACTCCTGTGGTCGCCCTTTTTTATTTCTTTCTAAATACTCAATAATAATGTTCATTAAATCAATAACAACTTTAAAAAATATTGAAGTACAGTGATTTACAATGTCATGTAGCTGTGGTACACTTTGTAACCGATCTCTTCACTTCTCTTGCATCCCTAGAATTTTTATTTTATTTTATTTTGATGAGGAACATTTTTAAAGTCTTCAGTGAATTTGCTAAAATAGTGTTTCTGTTTTACGTGTTTTGGTTTTCTGGCTGTGACTAGGGATTGAACCTGGACCCCCTGCTTTAGAAGGTGAAGTCTTAACCACTGCACCACCATGGATGTCCCTTGTATTACTTCCGAGTGTCTGTTTCCTGAGGGCCTGGACAGTTGGACCTACAGATGGAAAAGTTCACACTTCATCAGTGTACAAATCAGTAAGTATTCGCATGTTGAATACCTCCATGCAAGCAGCACATAGATCAACAGAAAAATGACCAGAGGGCAGACAAGTCCTCTTGTATCTTCTGAAAGTCTCTATCCCCACCTAACAGTAACCACCATCCGACTTTTAACAGCATAGTCTTAATAATGAAACCCAAGAAAGACATTATAAGAAAAAAAAAACTAGAGGCTACTGTTTCTCATGAATATAAATGCAAAATCCTCAACAAACACTAGCAAACTGATCCAGCAATATAGCTACTTGTAGCCAATAACATATCTGGAACCTTGACATCTCTTGAAACTCTTCTTTCATTATAAATAAAATTTGAAAATGTCATCATGGACTTCAAGCATTTTCTCACCCAGGATTATTTCTTTCCTTCCTAACTTTTCCACTCTGCTGGAAATTTGGTTACTAGGTATCCATAATTTGAGGAAAGCTTCTTGTCAACTTGGCTAGGTTGGACAAGTCATCAGTTACTCAATAACAACATTAACCTAGATGCTTCTGTAAATGAATTTTCCAGATGTGGTAAAAGTTCATACTTAGTTGACTTTAAATTAGAGGAATTCTTTGAGTGGGCTTCAGTTAATCAGTTGGGACATCTTTTATGCTTTTCCTGGGGGAGAGAGAGACTCCTGCCTTTGGACCACAAGTCTGCTGGTTTCCTGTATGTTCTGCTCTTCCCTTCCCAGTGGCCTGTCCTATACCCTTCAGACTTGCATGACCACCTCCTGCAGTTGTGTAATCCAGTAAATCAGTCGGAGTCACCCCCTCGATCCCCCTTCCCTCTTACACACACACACACACACACACACACACTCTCTCACAGGGTCTATTTCACACACAGGGTCTATTTCCCTAATTGAGCCTTAACTGATACAATTACTCTGTTACTGTTGCCAAATCAATTACTCTATTTTCAATTTTCTCAAAGCCTTTGAGCAGATGCTTTTCTGTTAGAAAAAGTTATCCTCTGCGTTGCTGATTTGACAACGTGGAGTTGTGGAAAGCACTGTTGTTAAGAGATAGAAGTTTACATGGTCACTTCAGTTCTCCAGACCTGTCTTTCCTCGTGAGCAGCATCAGTGTTGGCTGAACCATCCCTGGGTCAGAGCCCTCCAGAGGACAGAAGTGGGAATAAGATGCAGCTTTGCCACATCACTTGCTTGGTTCAAGGTTTCTTTCATGACCTCTTTCATCCATCATGTCAGTCTGTCCCAAGCTAAAAAAAAAGAAAAAAGATGTATTCTTAAAATGATGAGTGTAACATGGACTGGTTTGAGGATGGTAACTGTGCATCAGTGGATGGTGATAAATTACACATTTAATGCAACTGATGGCAAAGTTATAGATCTTCTTATTTCATACTTTGAATTCACTTCACCTGCTTGGAGTCTCCAGAACATGACTAATGACCCTTTGACAGTTTAAGTGTCTAATCTTTATTGGCTAAATGAGATTACATAAAGAATCTTAGGGACAATTTAAGGGACAAAGCACTGAAATTTTCAACTATGGTTGGTGACCCAGGAAAATGACAAGGTCGCCACTCTCCTCTCCAGTCCTGCTTGCCTACCTAGAACTCCAGGATCTCTTTCCCATCTGGGATTTGGCTCCAGCTGTTCCTTCTGATGGTGCATCCTTTCCTACCAACCCCCCGACTGTGACTTTAAGCAAGTTAACTTAACATCTCCTGGCCCCAGACTCCTCCTCTGTGATGCAGGGCTAAGACAGATGATCCTTAAGTACCTTCATTCCAGCTGGGAAACTGTTTGAGCATGAAATTTAAGGATGAATTTTCAGCATCACCTTTCTTTGCAAGATGGAAAACAGAGGATGAGAGAATGGCTTTGGCTCATTATTTGCAAATGAGGGCTTGGGAAGATTGATGTGTTTGCCCAGAAGAAAAATAAACTTGGATGTAAGGTCTGTAAAGTGTACCCTTTATGAAATTGTGAATTTTTCAAGAGGAAGAAGCTACGTACTCTCAGGGTTATTGCTTGACTTGAGGCAGAGAAGGTGTTTGTAGTCCCTGCCAGGACTCGGAAAAGCAGTGAGACAGGGGCCAGCGTCCTGCCTGCACCATCCAAGACACGCACCGTGGCCTCCCCAGGCTCCCGCGGCCGTAGCCTTCCTGTCCCTCTCCTTGCCATCTGGGTCAACCTGCTCACCCTGCGTTTGACTCTCCATCCTGCAGTTATTCCCTTCGTCCTGCTGGCTCACATTCTTCTTGTTTAGGCCAAGGGAAGGCTGTCTTTTGCCAAGAACACCAGAAGTCATGGCATAGGGAGTAAGTAAAATGCCAGCTGAGGCTGCAGGGATGTATAAATGGATTTAGATTCAACCAATATTTATTGCATGCTCACTGGGTGCCAGCCCTCTGCCAGAGCTTTTACTTTATTTTTAAAATATATACTTATTTATTTGGCTGTACTGGGTCTTAGTTGCTGCATGCGGGATCTTTGATCTTAGTTGCAGCATGTGAACTCTTGGTTGTGGCATGTGGGGTCTACTTCCCTGACCAGGGATCGAACCTGGGCTACCTGCATTGGGAGCGAGGAGTCTTAGCCACTGGACCACCAGGGAAGTCCCTGCCAGAGCTTTTAAACCCATTGTGTCACAACAACCCTGTGGTTAAGTGTAGTGGGCTGAGTGGGGTTCACCCCCTGTCCCAGTTACAAACACATACTAATCCCCTGAAACTGAACATCTTATTTGGGAAATGGTTTTTGCAGATATAATTAAGTTTAGCATCTTGGGTTATGAGAGCACCTGGATTATCCAGTTCAGTTCAGTCGCTCAGTCGTGCCCGACTCTTTGCGCTTATCCAGGTGGGCACTAAATCCAATGTGAAGTGTCCTCCTGAGAGCAAAGCAGAGGGAGAGTTGACACACAGATCAGAAGAGAAGGCCAGGTGACCAATGAAGGAGAAACTCCAGGGCTGGAAGAAGCAAGGAGTGGATTCTCCTCTAGAACATTTTGAGGAAGCATAGCTCTGCAGACACCTTGATTTTTGACTCTGGCTTCTGGAACTGTGATCAAATAAATGTCTATTGTTTTGAGCCACAAAACCATGATAATTTAATACAACAGTGCTAGGAAACTAAAGCTCCAATACTTGGGCCACCTGATGTGAAGAGCCCACTCACTGAAAAAGACCCTGATGCTGGGAAAGATTTAAGGCAGGAGGAGAAAGGGACGACAGAGGATGAGATGGTTGGATGGCATCACCGACTCAATGGACATGAATTTGAACAAGCTCCAGGAGATAGTGAAGGACTGAGGGGTCAGTACTGCAATTCATGGGGTCACAAAGAGTTGGACATGACTTAGCAACTGAACAACCACCACCACAAAGGAAACTAATACACACAGGTATCCTCCATAGAGGGAATAACCAAAAAGCTTTGATGTCACTGGGGTCAGTGGTCTCCTAATATTTAATTGAAAGGGGATTTCTTTCTCGAGTCCCACCTCTTCCTTTCTATTGGAAACCTGTTTGTTTGTTTGTTTTCCAGAGTGTCCCTCCTCCTCCAGGAAGCAGGGTGTCATAGAGAAAGGGGTCTTATTCCCACTTCAGGGCATGTGTTCATTCCTTGGGAAGGAACACAGGGCCTCGTCCTGGTTACCAGGTGAGGTCTGAGGAGTTACCAGGTTACCAGGTGAGTTACCAGGTGAGGTCTGAGGAGCCTTCTGGGAAAACAGTCCTTGATCCTAATAGAGAACCAGGAAGTGACATTCCTTTCTTCCACAAGGTGTCAGTGGATCACATGTGAAGCTTATATGATTATAAGCAATCTTCCTTCTGGCTTGGGGGTGAAATAAAAAAATCTTCACCCTTGAGGGTGAGGATGGCAGAATGGACCGATTAAAAAAAGGAACAACAACAGTTTTTGCAGATATCTTGAAGGCACTGAAGCCTATGTTATCTCTGGACTGAATATTATATTATGTGAGGTGATGGATGTCCTTATGTTTTTATTTTGACTAGACCTATCTCTGTATCCTATGATGACACAGTTTCTATTTAAGACAGTCTGTGTACCAGGGGGGTTTCCCTGGTGGCTCAGGCAGTGAAGAATCTGCCTGCAATGCAGGAGACTCGGGTTCCATCCCTGGGTCAGGAAGATTTCTCTGGAGGGGGGAGGAAGGCATGGCAACCTATTCTAATATCCTTGCCTGGAGAATTCCAGGGACAGAGGGGTCTGCGGGGCTACAGTCCATGGAATCACAGAGAGTTGGACATGACTGAGTATCTAACACTCACGCACGTGTACCAGGAATTGTACAGAAGCCATTTATTTTTCAAATAGCCCAGCAAGACCTTGGCCATTTTACACATGAGAAGACTGAAGTTCAGAACTCAAGGGTCTTGTGCAAGGTCACATGACTGATAATTTGGGGCATCAGACTCAGATTCCAGGTCTTTGATTCCTAAAACAGACAGTTAATTAGCTGAATTAAAGTCTCTGTCCTTCACTTTCACATCAAATATTTGCAATCTATCCTTTTAAGAATCCTTTTTAAGAATTCCTTTAATGGAAAATGTTTCAAAGTATTGAAAGATTTTGATAAGTTCAATATTCTGCAGAAATAAGTCAGTGACCACTCATTCAATATTTATTTCAGATCGTTTCCAAAAAAAGAGTGGCCAAAAAGTTTTGGGGAACAAAAAAGGTTGAATCTTGAAAATAGCTTGGATGTGACTGAGTCTTATTTATCTTACCTGATAACAAGGGTGGGTGGTTACCTCTAGTGATTTCTTCCCAGCTTTGTTCTGAGGATCAAATGTGATCATACATGCAAAAATGCTGAAAAGCTAAGACAAACCTAGACAGCATAGTGAAAAGCAGAGACATTACTTTGCTGACAAATGTCCATCTAGTCAAATCTATGGTTTTTCCAATAGTCATGTATGGATGGGAGAGTTGGACCATAAAGAAAGCTGAACACCAAAGAATTGATGCTTTTCAACTGTGGTGTTGGAGAAGACTCTTGAAAGTCCCTTGGACTGCAAGGAGATCCAACCAGTCCATCCCAAAGGAGATCAGTCCTGAATATTCATTGGAAGGACTGATGCTGAAGCTCCAATACTTTGGCCACCTGATGCAAAGAGCCACTCATTGGAAAAGACCCTGATGTTGGGAAATATTGAAGGCAGGAGAAGGGGATGACAGAAGATTAGATGGTTGGATGGCATCACCTACTTGACGGACATGAGTTTGAGCAAGCTCTGGGAGTTGGTGATGGACAGGGAAGCCTGGCATGCTGCAGTCCTTGGGGTCGCAAAGAGTGGGACATGACTGAGCAACTAAAATGGGTGATAGGAACAACAGTGTTTGGGCCTTTGAGTTCTTAATCTGGGACCAGTCACCAGACAGAAACCACGTAAATTACTTTAACAGAAAAAATACAGAGAATTGTTAATTGGGTAATAAAAGGATAGTATTACAGAGGTTGGGCTTCCCTGGAGGCTCAGAAGGTAAAGAATCTGCCTGCAATGTGGGAGACTCTGGCTGGACCCCTGGGTTGGGAAGATCCCCTAGAAAAGGGAATGGCAACCCACTTCAGTATTCTTGCCTGGAGAGTTCCATGGACAGAGGATGCTGGTGGGCTACAGTCCACGGGGCCGCAAAGAGTTGGACATGACTGAGTGACGGACACTTTCACTTTCATAACAGAGGTAGCAATTTCAGGGCTGGGGATCAAAGAGAAAGGGCTAGAAGGACAGATATTAAGATGGAGATGTTTGGAGGAGGGCTCATGGAGCTGAAACCCATCCTTCTGAGAAAGGGTCTGCTCTGTTGGTGCTGGTGTCTGAGGTGCCCTGAAGAAGCTGGTTCTGGGAGTGTTGGGAACAACAGCAAGCAGCAGCCAGATTTCATGGCTCCCAGAGGAAGGAGTGAGCCACTGCCGGGGTGGAGAAACCCTGTGCCGTGAGGGTCCCAGGAACAGGAAGTCCATGGGACCTCCCTGGGGTGCAAACAAGAAGGATTCCTCTCTCCTCCAGCACCCACTCCAGAGTCCTCGTTGCCCGACTGAGCCTGGAACCAGAGAGCCAGGCAGACATGTGGTTTGCAGTCCCAGACCCAGTATTGCAGAACGGAGGACTTGAAAGGTAGGTATAGGGCTACGACCTGATAATTTAGTAGCTGGCACTTGATCCTCATGTTTAAGTCCTGCAAGATCCTTGCAAAGTAGCTATTGTCATTTCCATTTTAT